ATGTCTCAGTTCGAGAAACATCCACTCTTGACTACATAACTTTTCCTCAGTAACACAGTTTTAGAGTCGATTTTCTGCTATGGGCGAGTGAGACTAACTCAACATGGTTTAGCCAAACGAGGTACACTAGCTACACGGACGCCGACTTTTCAAAATTTCAGTGGTTCCCAACTTTGCGTTACAAATTCTCCTCGCAAACTATCTCAGAGGGCTCAAAACGCAGCCGATGACGAAATCGGCACTAAAAAATACAAGAAGCACACGGAATTGAGACGTGGTGTGTTCATTCGCCTCTGCCACCTACGAATATCAACAAAACTAACGCGTACAACTAAACTGACTTCCTTTCGTATCAAAGTACTGAGGCGGGAAGAGTCATTGAATCACATACACATAAAAAAACCTGTCTAGGCCCAAATTAGCACCAACTCGTAATTGTGCTGATTAAAACTGATCATCGATAAAGTAGAATTTGACTCTTTCACGCCATTGATTACTAAGTTTACTAACATTTAAGAGATCCTTGCTGCCTCAATCACCAGCCTGAAACGACGATAAATGTCTGCCAAGGTACACGGCGCTACTACCCAGAAGATAGACATGTTCGTTATGAGGAAATTATTTAATAAAACTTAACTTTTAACGTAAGGGACGCCTGAGCACCACGGCAAAACTACTCGACGCCCATGATACAACGCCTTCCAACAGGAAAGCGACGAAAGGGGGATACGCGAAACCTGGCCTGACCTTAATCCGAAAATTACTGACAAAAGAAATCTCCGAATTACGCAAAATTCTTTCATCTACACACCGCGTGATGTTCTGTGGTCCGTTCAACACCTCAGTCCTCCTCATGCTTCCCGTGCTTAAACATGTTTCTAAAAGTACTACTTCCAATAAGTTAAGCATGTTCCTCCGAAAAGTAGGCACTCAACTGCAAATTCACGGCGTCACAACCCAGCAGACTTCTAACTCAGAATCGGAAACATGGTGTAATATCTGGCTATTGCCCTCCTTACAGTTACCGCAAACAAGTGTCAAAAGCAAGGACGCAGAGGTGGCATTACTGTTCTGAAGGATAACATCAGGATCGGTAATTTCGACGAAACACATTTGAAAACAATAAAACAAGTTTTGCGGCTTGTGGATTGATGTAATTCATTTCATAAACATGTGACTCTAAACTACAATGATTAGGTTAAACAGAAACACGCCATGTATTAACCGCTCGGTTCAAAGAATGACGTCAGCACAGCCGGTTTAACCACTAAGCAAACTAGGCAATACTTGGTACTGAATACAAATGGTTGATGTGAGTGTAACGAAATCGACAATGTGATCAGTCAGCAAATTTCCTGACAGACTATCACGTGAATGGGGACCTTTTGTCTTCAGTTAGTAGCATGGCATCTTGGGCTAATGGGTTGTCTTTTACTTCTGTTCAGTTTTTCTTCATTCCCACGTGTTTTATTTAAGGGTTCCACGTTCCATCACCTATTTCTTTTACTAGCCACATATTTTGGGCAAAGTGCAGAACAATGGCATGTACATTCCGTATCATATTTTCCTGTGCGCGCAAACTTAATCTAAAACTATAAATAAAATAATATTAATGCAAGATATTCATTTTCGGAAGGTAATTAGTGGAAGGTCAATGGTATGAAGCCCATTTATAGTTTGGATTCAATTACAAGTTTTAATTTTATGACTATAATTACTTTGCACATTATCACATCCAAATGTATGTTGCTGTTTGTTATGTGAATATCATTTCAGCCACCAAAACTCTGCTTTTGTCTCTTGCTTTCACAGTACAGGTTTTACTCCCACATAAATTTGTTGGGAAGCCTAAGATATTATAAATTTTTATTTGACTGCCTTTATGAACGTTTGATGGTTTGAAAACTGTGCCATTAAGTCCCGAAACATTTTGACATTTAGAAATTTTAAGTTCCGTACTTTTTCTTCATATGATGATCAGCATCAAAGGTAATTACAAAGTTTACTTAATGTATTATTTTATTGTTTATTTCTGTTTTACATCTTGCTATTTGTCTAGGATGCTAAAAGATATCAACTTTGTTATCAGATTATCAGATAGCCAATAAACCCTTTCAAATTATGACAAAGTTAAAATATTTGGAAATGACAGGGTACTAAAATAATTACATTCACAAAGAAATAACAGCAGATTAAATCTGCAGAATGCTTCTACCACAAAGTTCAGAATTTTTGTCTTCCTGACTACTACCTAAAAATGGGAATTTTACAAAATGTAAAACTATAAAATCATCTGTTGAACGTCATCTCTAAAATTTATCACATATAAACTGAAGGTGTCTGAGAACAGAGTACTAAGGATAACCAAAGGAGAAGAAGTAAAAGGAACACGAAAAACAATGCATAATGAGAAGTCTCAATAACCTGAATTATTCAACAACTATTAACAGGATGACTAAATCAAGGAATATAATGTATATGGTGGGAGGTAAGAAATACATACAAAATTCTGTCTGGAAAGCCTGAAAAGAAGAAATCAGTTGTAAGATCTACATGAAGGGAAGATAATATTAAACTGGATCATATGGAAATAGGTTGGGGCAGGGATGGTGGTGGGCATAATTTGTGTATTGAACCTTTAGGTTCCATAAAATGCACACAATTACTTAACTAGCTGAGTGACTATTAGCTTCTAAAACAGCCCTATTCTGGTTATAACACTTTAACAGACAGTACCAGACTCAGAGGTAACTACTCAAAAACATTTTGTACAGTAAGACTGAAAGTTTTGTGAAAACAATATGTATTTTAAATCCAATGGATAAAATAATATTTTTCCATAAAACTTCTTATTTCTGACTGACACCCAAGATACCAGATTGAATCATAAAATAGACATGATTTATCATTACATATTCAGTTATGACTCAAATTATACTTTATCAGATTTTCCTGTAGGCACTGGGCAAAAATGCAGGTCATAAAACTTCTGACATATAAATAGCACAAAAACATGAGTTAATTTAAACCATGGCCTTCACCATTATGGTATCATGTAGGCCTGGCATCACAACCCAGAATATCACAATCAACATCTTCACCATTATGACAGCCTCATATCTCATGCGATCATTAATTTCCTTTTGATAAAACTCACTTTCAAAGCTATTCCATATACAACATATCCATCTCTTGCACATTCTCACACATTCTTTTGTCTGTCAGAATTACTTTTCATATCAGCTAATTCACTAACAATATTATACATATCACCTGGTCAAAAGAATAAAAATGCCAGCAGACTAAAGACAAGCATACTATGACATTCCAATTTTGTCAAAGTCTTTGAGTTATCCCAGCTTCTTCAGTATAAATCCAACCACCACACTAAAATGAAGGATAATAACCTCTTTAAAATATTCTCATTAAGAATCTTGACCAATAATAAATACACAAACTGTTTAATAATAAATAAATACTCTAGATAAAACATTGTTCAACACACTTAAAATTTGGTGAATTACTTTTATTCAGTTTTAATGGCCTTCTATTGTACAATCCTGTGAAAACCTGAGTGTGTTTAGTTTATGTGATATTATCTACATGGAAATACACTGCCCATTTAATTGCTCCTAATGCTACAAAGCAACTTGTGCCTATATGAATCGGCTAACTACCAACATTAAAGGCAACGAAATAATATGCGTAATGGTTACATCATTAATTATAACAACCTGTAAACCATGTTGCATGTCCCAATGCCAGTGTGAAGGATGAGAGGGGTGAGAAGAAAAAGAGATCTATATACAAATTTTAAAATTATACACGTGTCAATGAAGAAAGTGTGTTTCCCCAAATTTCTAAACCGCGTGTTAATTAATAATTGACGGAGGCTGCCAGTAAATGTCGCAACATGCCTTCTAAGTCATTCCGTAAATTCGAATACTTGCACAGTAGGTTCATTAATTTTTAAACTTCCTGTAATAGAACATGTTCAATTATAAACATGATAGGAAAAATAAACTCTTACCTCCAAATTTCTTAAATGTCTTCACTTCACCAGAGTGTTATATAAATTACTAAGCTGTTTCACTATAAAACCCACAACAAGAACACAACCACAGGCACAAAAACAAACCTCCGAACTGCCATCTTTAGACCATTTGCTACAACAATCATGGTTGCCAACGGACGTGAATTATAGACACAAATTCCTCTAATGTTTTAATATTTGCCTCTCACTCTCATTCTATTTTGTAGAGCAAAAACAACATATTGCAAAACAGGAGGCTGCAGTTAACAGCCTTGTTATTTTCGTCTGTTTAATTAGTTTTAAATTCCACAGTTGTTCTATGCAATGAGTGAGAAAATGCAACAGCGGCGAAGTAGTGGCCTATCTTATGGAGTTTCCCTCTGGATTTAAAGTCATGGTTGGTGGTTTTGACTGCCGTGCAAGTGGGGGCGAAGGACAAAATACATTTTTGGTCCCGCGAAATCACAGATGATTATTCAAAATGAAAGCAGCATCTGTCACTTGTCACGATTAAACTTCGTGACGACCAGACTCGAAAAGCTGAATGCTCACGATAAGTTTAATGCCATTTAAATACATACATCATTACTACATAATTGTCCTTATCGTGCCTGTTGTACATGCACAAGAATATGGAAAAGTTTATTGGCATCGTCAATATGGTATGAACATATATATTTTATCTGTTGATAAATGCACCAGATGTTACAAAAAGAAACTTGGATCATAAACAATTTTAGCAAGAAGAATTCGTGTTATTGAACATAACTTCTTTCTTCCAATTGTCAACGAGTGTTAAAGATACCCAGCGTTCAAAACTGGTTTAATATGTTGGGGTAGCAATAAACATCAAATATCCTCTCATAGAAAGACTGGGTGGACAAATCAACATATTCTGCACAAGATATAAAAATGGTTTTGCAATCCCCGCCTAATGCAATACTGCATTTTACTGCCATCTATGAATGCTTTGTTCTATTTGTTGGTATCACTGTATTTGAAAAGAAACGCAGTTTGGCAGCCTGCGAGTAATATTGTGTATCAGAAAGTAGGTTTTAAATTATTTTAAATGTTTATTTTACGTTACTTCATACAGTTTAGATTGGTTTATTGTATATATTATTATTTTCGTCATCATCCATATACATCCTGTTCATTCCATCATATTTTGTTTTGAGCCGAACAGGTATCTTGACATTCGGATTTCATATACAGATAAAATGGAGTTAAACATTTATAAACCAATATTTCTTTCTCTTATAGAGTACTACAGGAATCATTAACGCTATGTCACTGTCGTGGTTCTTTAGTAATAAGAAGAAGACTTCTGATACAGAGCTACCAGAGAATGCTACAGAGTCACATAGTGATGACTACGTTTTTGTAGATAAAAAAGAAGATACGCAAAGTGACAGCAGATATGGTGGACACTGCCACTACCCCGAATTACCGTATTCACTTGTTCCAGACTCTAGTAAAGCTCCCCCGAATTCTTCCACTAATAGCACATTGAACGTTCCTCAGAATCAAAATTTTCTATATGGAGTACCATTTAAGCTAACAGTAGATAACGGTTCGTTTATATATAATTCAGTGAATGGAAGTAGGATTCATGCTAATGACGTCTTATCACATATATTGCAGTTAAATTTGGAATCATTTGAATATGATTTTCAGGTAGAAAAAAGTATGGTGCTCTAAGTTTGAGATATTAGGGTTAATCAGAAGCACACTGTTCTTTTAGCAACTTTTTCAGATTTTTCAGCTAGTGGATGAGTATAGAGATGTGTTAATTGCACAGAATATAAAATTAGCATTAGAGGGCTGTGAGAACTCGAGATTCTCAACACCGTGCTGAAAATTTCAGGTTTGAGATGAGCGAGATGCATTGCAGATTTGTCTGCATACCATTCGCTTCTCTCATCTCTGACAAATAAAATGTTGTTAATGTAAAGAATACCAGACTCCCATTGTGGTTCCAATCCTACATTAAACTTTGCCAGCTACTATCATCATAATGGCATCCACCTGTTGAGAGCCCATGCTGAAGAATTTGACTCTTCCTATTCCAGAGGTTGGCACAGGCAAAAAACATCAACCTGAAGATAATTGAAGGATTAGCCATGACACAGCTTAACTTAGCTTTGTTTCTTTGCCTGTCATGCTACAATATCTGCTGCTTTTTCATTTTGTTGCTTTCATAAGCACAGACTATTCATGAGGACCACAGGAATAGCTCAATGAAGAGAGTGGCTGGGCAGGAATTTCATGTTCACCGCTGCATTCAAACTAGCTATGTGTGCAGTTTTACTTCCATTCCTTCACACATCATAATGTGACACTGAAGCAGTGATTTATTTGATATGTAATAGCATTAATGTACCTGAGAAAGTGGTTGGACCCTATAGCACATAGTGCTCATGTTATTGTTTTTACTGGAACTGAAAAAGTTTTACTAAATGTGCTCAGATGTCAGTCAGATTCTTACTGTGTGTTTTAAATGATTTATTTTGTAAATGTGTTTTTCATGATTAAACTGAGTTCCAAGATACTTTTTTTTTCTACCCATTTTTGTAACTAAGAATGCCTGTCCCTATGCAGCTCTGTGATCTGGTTGACATATTATTTTAAATATAACATTATAACACCAGCCTTTACATTTAGTTTTGATAACATTTACTGTGTGTGTGTTGCAGCTTGCACTCACTTCAGATGGACATGCATTGAACTGGCAATTCAGCAGGCCCTATCCCTGTATGATGAAAGTTCATTTAATTTTATAGTTTGAACCAAAGAAAGTATAACCTAAAAAATTAGAGACAGAGGCATGGCTAGGAGAATAATATTGAAACAAGTTTTAACAAATAAGGGTGAAGATAAAAGGGAAACCAGTTAACTCAATCACACATGCAGAAATGTATGTTTGTGAATAATTCATAAAATATTTTACTGTATTGTAGGTTTCATGTACAGTTTCTAGAATATTACAACATGTCTGATTGATACACTGAACTGTTTTTAAGACAATGGCTAATGAAATCTGTAATGGAAATACTTTAATTATCTTCCCATGTATGCCTAGTTCTCCCAAGCAGTGTGCTCCCTGTGGCTTTTCATTTAGAATTCTGTATGAATTTATAATCTTATCCCATTTTTGCTACATGCCATGCACCTCACCCACCATAATATTTGCCACAGTACCAACCAATTCCTGTCAAGATATAAAACAATACTTTGAAAAACAGATAAGTTAAAATGAATTAAATATGGTTATCCAATAATATAATGCACACATTACTATATAAACAATGGTATTTTATAAAAAAACAGCCCTTAAAGACTAATATAATAAATATTTCTCCATCCACATAGCAAGAGCATTCGTTCATGTTTTTTGATATAAAATGAAAAAGTTAGGCACAGACAGGTATTGAATGGAAGATTACAAGACTCAATTATATATGAAGACAATTACTGCTGAGTCATGGAAGGAAAGGAGAGACTAGAATCACATGAAGTTATATAAAGCACAGTGTCAACACACATACATGACTGTGAAACATGAGTGATCAAAAGAAACAATGAGATGATGATGTACGTGGAAATAAAAATTATTCAAATAGCAGCTGATACATACACAGAGATCACCAATGTAACACACATTATAGACATTAAATAAATTAATGAAGCAATAAAATAAGAGAATACAGTCAAAAGAGAATACCTCATTTACAGAGGGTGGACAAATTAAATCAAAACATATCAAATGCATGCTGACTGACTGGTTATGCATTATATAATATTAACGCTATACAAATATTGCTTGATGCACTATTACACTGACGCAATTTTCACTCTTCCAAGAAATCTTTATACATCCAACTAATTTAAAAAGAAATTAAGTTCATACAAACATGTAAATAATAGCAAAAATGCAGACCAGTAATACGAATGGCACCCAGGTCTTCAGAAGGCCTGCAACACTGAAAAGAACATAATACAGATGTAGATATGACAAAACCTTTCCATCAATTAAAGGAGGTAATAGATCCAGGAATTTTGCTCTAGAACATGTCATCAGAAAGAGCTCAATTTGAATGGTCGGTACATTCAAAATATCTGTCACTAATAGCACTCTAAACTTCTTCATTATCACTCACAAATGCACCAAGTTAAAAAACACAACTGTCTTACCTCACGTATTTACCTTTAAGCAGCATCAGAAATGCTAATTTCACCATGTTCCAGTTTGTGCTTCCATCATAATGCATCAAGTTCAGAGCCATGGCAACATGGGAGTGACAGTTGTCACAACACAAATTATGCTGAAAAAATATATAAGAAAAACTGCAGTGTGAATAATGCTCATTTCTTGGCTCATATGAAAGAATATTAAAGAAATTGTGCATATGCATTACCCTAGCTCCATAAAGCTGATGTTATGTCAGTCTTCCACACACAAGGTGCTGAATATTAACTCTACAATCTAAACAGAACTGAGATTAAGTAACCCACAACCCTTCACACTGCTCTTCCGTTCTGCATAATACACTGATATACACTTTTAACTCGTGTCCTTTCAAGGTAAAAAGCAAAGATGCTCACCTGTATCAACTAACAATTTACAAATGCATAATAAAAAGAATGGCACACATATGCAACATTAAGATTCTTTCTGTTCTTTTACATGCTGTAAATCTACATGGGACCTCTGGCTTTACTTCCCCTCTGAAGGTAATTTTGCTATGGATTTTATCACCCTTAAAAATCCATCGACCTCGGCTGGGTTTGAACCTGTAAATCTTGGGTTCAGTGGGGAGCACACTAACCACTGGTCCACTGAAGGTGATTATCGTGCAGGAACTAGAGGATTTAAATTCCCGTATTATGGGGCTACCAACCAAACTTCTGCTCCGGGATTAATGGTTTAGCAGAATGCTAGTGGAATCCACAGCCAGCTGGACAATACATAAGTTATGTTATCTGCTGGATGATAAAGGTTACAAAACAGTAGCAAAGGCAAGGTAGCCCAAGCAGGATTCAATAAGCTAACCTAAACTGACATAACCCTGACTGAAAACAAGTCTGATAAACAAACATACAGAAATTAACTGCAGTGTAAACTGGTGCTTTGGCATCACTACATAAAACCTGAAGGTCAGAAGTGAGTGAAGCTAAAGCCTCACATTTTAAGTCCATGTATGCTCTAGTAGCCACATCTAAAACATAACTTAACACAAATATATACACATGCATTCTATTACTCTAAGAACAGAAAAAACATGAAATGGAACTTCTAACCATCCTTGTTTTATACTCTTCAGAAGCCTCAGTAACAGCATGATCCCAGCCATTTTTCCCCCCTCTTGCAAGGTGGGGTCGTAACTGCCAATATTTTGTTGGGCAACCAAATGCCATGTTATCTTCAGATACAAAGTATGGACCTGCAAAGTCTCGTATTATACCTGATGACATGGCAATTCCCATGTGGCCAATAAATGGAAACAGCCATCTGAAAAATTATTTCTCATAATTAAATTTTGTATTCATAAAACACACATAAGTTCTCCAAGAGTATATCAGAGATGATACTGACAACATTTTCGGTTGCATGCTGGATGACTGGTACGATCAGTATTATTATTATTATTTAGTGTTCTGTCTGACGACAGGTCCATATGAACAGGATCCTTCCATCCTGGACTGGGACCTGTTCATATACGTTCTTGGCAGATGATCCAGAAGTGGTTTGCCATTGCCTTCTTCTGTGTGTGAATTGAGTAATTGTTGGGATGCCACGGAGAAACCGAGGAAGCAAATATAGGTAGAAAAGGTGATGTGAGGCGAGATGTTAAGATACCAACCGATATTTCCAACACACTAACCAATTACATGATAAACATCTGTCAGTTTCAATTCACAGTAATGATGCTGAGTATTATTTCTTTCTTTCAAATGGCTTTTAACATTTCAGGCCTATCAAATTTTTCAAAAAATTGTTTGTCTTCAGTTAATTTTTTAACTCAGCAATAAGAAGTATGTAAATGTGATAATATCTCATAAGCATAAGTCTCTTTCAGCACCTCGTCAACATGTTCCAGTTTTCACACATTGTATAGATCTGTGTTTAAAGGTATAAACATTTTGGGAGGTAACTAAAACCAAAGTTAACTGAAACCAAGGAAAAGTCATAACTGTGTGTACCTATAAGCAGACACAAATTTGGACTGCTGCTTAATTTAGTAAGTCTGTGTTGATAATGTATCAACATGGCAACATTTCAAAATCAATAATTTTTTGACTCAGCAAATGGCTTTCAGTCTTCACTTAAGTAATTTGTAATGGTAAAGTGAATCAATTTACATACAGAGTCTAAACCAAGGGCTATGCATATTTTCAATTCTGCCAGATATTTTTTTATAGCTCTTGGTCCTCAAAAATATTTTCATTTGTTCATGTCTAGTTATGTGAGAGGAAAAACAAAAATAACTGTATCAGTGTTTGCATAAAGTAACAACCATGAAGTAATCTCACTGAAGATGACTGGTTTTGGCCTCAACAATCCATGCAGGGTTTGAGATTAAATTACAACTAAGCACTAGTATAGTTAATCTTCAGAAGCAAGTTCATTTGCCTGTTGCTGAAGGCTGTATTAAATTTATTACACAACAGCTGTTTTATATCAGTTGACTTAAAAGTCACAAAGTTAATCAGAACTAAACAGAGAGTAAAAAGGCTTGCAATGTGGCATTTGGAGCTGTAATTAGAAGTAAAGTCTAGACTAAGCAACTGGGTATGGAACTAGAAGTTAGAATGGTTTGGATGGGTCTCCTCTCTTTTATGAACACTTTTTACTCAGTATATATTTATTTATTATTTCAGTCTATACACAAACTTAGTTTTTAAAATGTTGTTGTTAAAATTAAAATTTAGCGCTTTTCATCGTTTTAATTTTAACAACAACATTTTAAAAACTAAGTTTGTGTATAGACTGAAATAATAAATAAATATATACTGAGTTTTAACACAAACATGACGCATCTAAACTATAAACTTTTTACTCAGTTTAAAAAAGTGTCACAATGTGGTATGTGTTTACTTGCAGTAATTATGCCTAACTTAAACTACCCTAATCAACCCATTCTTTTGTTACTAGCCATTGAGGAATTCCTGGTTTGGCTAGTAGCATGCTGTCAGATCACTAAAACTGAAGGAATACAAAGGAAATACTTGGCATGAAAAAGACAACCAAAAAGATAATTACGTAGCACCCTAGCATTGTGTTGCGATTGCATTTCCGAACTACTAGACTTGTATACAATAATTCACCATCGTTACTTTAGCTAACAGTGAATTCTAACCAATGTAATGCAATTGGATACCTTATTGTAAAGTAATAACCACAACTTTTCTGAAGAGGGATATTTCTGGGGACATCTTCATAACAACGGAGGTCTCACTAGTTTAGTTTATTCTTAAGCATTTAAATAACTATCACACTATATTGACAACTATACATTTTATATTACATACGTTAGAAGTGGTATAGGTGTCCAAATAACGCAAAACGGGTATCTTTGTTTCTGATGATCTATGAACAGATCCATTAGTGTTTCTTTGCTACCGGGTGTCGCACTATTATTTGTGTCTGTAGTTATGTTAGAATGATTTGATTCCGAAGATTTCATAACTGACATACTTCTAGTCATTCACATTCAGGAGTCCGTATAAAACCCCACTAAAAAGGACCGCAATGACATAACCACAACACATACTGGTCATCCTGTGTTCACTGCCTTGCAAAGAGTATCAGGATACGCACGGCAAAAATTACTATGAAACACAGAAACGGACAAGCAATCGAAATCGTTCAAATTAAGAAAGCTGTAATCACAGAGAATATTAACATGAATTATTTTTTGCGGGATTTTATTTGAAGTGTTATTACAATTAATTTAATAAGCTTTTTAAAGGTTTTTCGTAAAATCTGTGTAATACTTATATGTTACAATGGAGGAACAAATGATTGAACCCAGGGTGCGAGTAAACGGGGTAGCTTTGGCTCGTTTTATGGGAAAACCAGTTAGCATAATGGGAACTGTTTTAAACGTGAGTTTTCGCATGATAAAAGTATGAATTTTTCTTAGATGTAAGTACATGTCAATGAATAATTTAGGTCTGCTTTTGAAATGCAGCCCACGAAAGCTGATTGAAGTTTTGTTCATTTCAATACAATTGTGGAAAGTGCTATAAGGAAAAGCTAGATCCAACACAAAAACTTAACCTATCTCTGAATTAGTGTTATTAGATCATTGCAGTGATTTGTATTAGAACTTTACATAAAATACAACACAGATTTAGTTATGGGAACTGTTCAGTCTAGTAACTAAATTGATCTTACATTGAGTGCCAAGTATACATGGTTACTGTATTGTAAAATTTCTCCAGGTCAGTCATAATGTCTGTACAGATATGCAGCACTATCAACAAGTCACAAAAATATTTTTGATTTGTTACAGACTCATGCTAGTGGAATTTCAGTAGAGATCAAAACAGTTGACAACTTGGTTGTGACAGTAAAAATGCAAGAACCTCTGCAAGAACCGTTGTCAGGATTAGTGGAGTTTCATGGAACAGTACAAGGAAAGAATACTGTTTCAAGTGATTTCTATATCTCATTACCCCCCGAAATTACAGAAAATTTTGGTATGTTCCTTTTTGTCAATTTCTAAATTATAAGCTCTTTCAGTGAAATTATAAATGGAACTAGGTATTGTGATTTTGTACCATGTAGATTGGGGATCTGCTAATCTACATAATCTTGCTCACTTCACATTCTGTTCTGGTACATGCCATCTTCATACTTGATGCTTTGAGAACCTCAGATCATGCACTATTTACCAGCTTCAAGGCTCCTAGTGGATGTGAAACATCCCAGGCAACTGATACAATATGCAGATTTCCAGAATCTTGATGTTCCAGTTTCAAATTATAGTCATGTGTGTACCACTTCAACCTTCCAATTCTTGAATTGTACCTCCTACCACAAATAACTGCTTATCAAGATTCTTAACTTCTTCTCTTCACCCCTCTACCCTTCCTTAGAGCATGCACAGTTCACTTTTTGATTGACTGCATACTGTCTTTGTGTTGTCACCAGTCGGTACCTTTTGAAGCAGAGAACTTAAATTTGAGAATTGACGGGTTATACCACAAAGGAACCACCCCAATGCTAGTTTCATCTCAGTTTTCATTAGTCCTGATGGAGAAAGTTGAGTTTGAATATTTTATGTCAAGCCTAGTTTCTGAACTATTTATTCTGCATAACAAAAATAGCAAAATATTCCAAGCAACAGTCCTGTAGACAGAATTGGACTGAGCCGAAGCCAGGGACAAGATGATAAGATGGTACTAGTCAGCTGAAGTCATTCCAGGACTGCAATAAATGTAATTCTGAACATGAAAATTTCCACATCAGTGCCTCATTTCATTGTCTTGGTTTTATGATGGTTGGGTCAGAATGAAAATAAATTTATGAAATAATTACTGAAATATTATTGAACATTATCACCCTAATTCATCTGGGCTGCACTTGTTAATAATTTTGTTTATATGTGTCTTACAGATTTTGAACAGTACAATGAAGCACTTACATTAATGAACACCATCTCCAATCAATGGGTATCTTGAAGAACTGGAAATCACATTCTGGATGAAAATGCTTATAATGACTAAATTTAATTTTGAATTCATTTACATATATTAATAAAAATAATAATTCTATGTAGATTGTTATCCACTTTAATTTTTGAGACCTATACAAAGAACCTGAAAAGTAGTTTGTAAGGTTTTGTATATTTAAGACTTAAACAAAAGAACAGTGAAGTGACTGTTTTTTCATTATAACAGCAGTGGAGGACAACAATAAGTCTTCAGGTGAACTTATACTTTTTTTCAAAAGGAGCTTGCTGTACAAGAAAATTATAACATGGCAAACTAAGATCTCACTGAGAATACCAGTGCTAACACAGTAAATATAAAAAAAGTCACACAGAACACATGGTACAGATAAGCTAAAAGGTCAGAAGTGTTTCAAGCTGTTAAAGGAACTATGAACGGGGACTATGTTACAATTACGTACTCTGCTGCTTTCTGTAACATGACAACACCCTAGACCAGGGGTGGCCAACCCAAATGATCTTTCGGGCCACTTTGGAAATGCATCATAACTCCGCGGGCCACATATAAAATTATATATCCCCATATTAGATTTAGATACACTATAGACATTTGGCACTTAAGAGTGAAACATAGAACCTGTTATATTAGATGTTCCAAGATGCACGCGCATCATGAGTTCGCAGAATATAGTTTAATTATTCTGCGAACTCATAACTGTAAACTCATGAATAAAACAGGCAATATCTGTCATATATTCGCAAGAATATTATTTTAAAATCAAAGTTAATTTTTTCTCATAATTTCGACAGATAATTTTTGAATATATGGATGCACAAATAATGTATTTTTTTAATACATTGGTTTTCACTACTTTGGCCATTATAAAATAAATATATTTTGTAAAAGTGTGATGAATCTCGCGGGCCGCAAAAATGTTCAAGGCGGGCCACATGCGGCCCGCGGGTTGGCCACCCCTGCCCTAGACTGACACCAACCTCAGTCACAGTTAGCTGTTGCAAGTTTGCCTAAGGCAAACATTGTAGTTACCATCTTCAAGGTTAATACATAATGACTGGATATTTATGGAAGCCTTATATAGAGCAGATAGTGGGTGGTGAGTTGATGGTGCTTGTTGGTGGACCAGAATGGTAGGCTACAATCAAACTGGACTAGAGCATATGCTTTTCCATTATAATCGGCACCACCAAATCCAATTCACCACCCACTACCTGCCCTATATAAGCATTCCAAGTCCTAGATACTAGTGCACATTTCAGAGTCATAAGTATGTGGATATTATTTATTTTGTAATTCTGCTTTGTATGTTTTCACAATCCTTTGATCACTTCAATTAACCGACAAGACTATTTACTTATGGTTTAATGACATTGTTAGTAGCTTAGACTGTATTCAATGATAGGACAATTAATAAATAATGAATTGGAAAGGATATGGAATGAAGTGATCATGTCTTAATTTAAGGTACTATTCCAGTATCTGCCTGAAGGGACTGAAGAGAATCATAAACAACTTCAGTCAGGAGAGCTGGTCTCTGGAATGAGATGTTAACCCGGAACCTCGTCTGTGTAATACAGTCAAGTATAGTAAGGGTACTGATTTATACAAGCACACTGTAATAGGCGTTTCCTTAATTCAAATCAGATAATATTTTTAAATTAAGTCCTGCATGGAATATGAAACAAAAATATATGTAGTGAACAGTTTCTGTTACATAATTACCATGAAATTAACTGCTTATTGCTGTACTCTTGCAATATGAGTGATAATGGAGGCTGCTTCACGAGCCGTATCCAGAGATGAACAGCGGCAAGTACAGAATGTTACAGGACATTCTGAGTGTTCCCTGAAACAAAACAAGCAAAATATTTGTTTGTTTCCTTTCTTAAATTACCTTACAGCAAATGACTCAAATAAGCATACCAGAATCATTATAATCTGGAAAGTAGCATAAATAGAGTCCTAAATGTCATCTGTGATCACTTTACTTGGATTGTAAAAATCATACCTGAACCAATGAGTCATGTGGGCTGCATGTCCACCATGTCGACATGACTGACAAAATGTGAACCAAGATGAAAATTCTGCCATTTTATTATTGGCTGTTGATGAACGCCCATTGCTGTTCATACTATTATTGTTTTGCAGCCCAGAAGGTGTCCCCATGTGGACTAGACAGATGGCACAACGAGGCAAAGGCTTGCGACACTGGGGACACGATGACATCTGCAAAATATTGCTTGAATGTTTTGGAACATCTAGAAACTTGTTGCATAACATCTCTTGTTTCGCTATGCACAATTACAACTGAGAAACATCGTTAATCATACTCAGCAGACATTACAGATTATTAACAGTATTTGTACACTGGAAATCACAAAATACAGTCAGTACAACAATTTTTATTAAACTAAACTGCAATTAAATAAACTATGAAATAAAACTCATCCATTAAAAAATTTCTGTTTAGATATAATTTACTGTGGTGCTTATTCTGCTCAAAATTGTGTTCTCTGCAAAGAAAATTAGAACTATACACAATACGCATATTCTTTGTCACCATTTTGAGAAACTTATACTGAAATTACATGCAACTGTACACTGTCCATTGTGCTTAAATCACAGAACCAAATTTTTTAAAACACAAAGTCTGAATTTGTGTGGCTGGACTTTTTCTCAGTACTATATACAAAAGAATAAGAATCTTATTCTCTAACTCATTGTTCAGAGAATGAGTTTGAAGTGAAGTTCCACCCACCTAACTAAAGATACTGGTGGATACTGACCTTAAGTTTCTGTGAAGTTGCTCCTAGACGAGCATAGGCTCCTCTGTTTCTGATGATTCCCTGCATTTGGGCTGAGATGCTCTTGCCACAAAAGTTACAAGACACAAATATTTGCTGTGGTGCTTTGTCATTTGGAGAGCAAGCATTAAGTAATATATCAAAATGGGCTCTTTGATTCCATAGGCGCCAGGCATCGAGCAGAACACGATAGCTGCAAATATAAAAACAATAACCTCATTTATTTGGTCAATTTATTCCATGTTCCATATATCTGTACAGTTCTACCCTCATTGGGTAGGCCAAAAGATGCTACCAACACATTCTGTTTTCATAATTTCTTTCCTTTATTTTAATATTGAGATCCTGTGATTTCAGTTTAATGGACAATAAAAAAAGCACCACTGGTGAAAAATTAAGTGGAGATCCTGGTTATAAACATAAGCCTGTAATATCTCATAATAAAAGTAAAAGTATTCAGTGGAACTGAGGGTATATGCTTATAATACTTCTCACACATATTTGATGGGTGCCAGTCAGGGAAAAACTGTAAGTCAGTGAGCCAACAGCTACTGCAAGGGAGTTACAAAATTTTGACTAGTACAGTTAACTGCACACTAACAATTTAATCACTCTCATAAAACAAATTCTGTCATGTACACTGTACTTTGTACATTACCGCTTTCTTGTTTGCCTGTTTCTTGTTTCACTGTAAGAAACACACAAGCTATATTATATTATAGATGCAGGAAAAAGGAAAACAAACAAAATATTGACCATATAAATGAAAGTCCCTTGTCCTATATTTGGCAGCTGCTTTGATTACAAATCTGACACCAAAGAGTGATGATTACAAACAGTACAACATGTATGTAATCATTCAAATCATTGGCCACAAAAAAAAAATATATATATATATATATATATAATGTAATACTGTTCAGTAAATGGTATGAAAAACGCTGCTTCTAATCCTGAATTTTTAACACTATTTTTTATCCCTCTAAGCATGCATGGTGAAGATAGCAGATACCCTCTGTACCTATCAATCCAGTTTTGAACTCTTGAGTCAAGCAGCAATTCCCGTGGGAATACACGGACAGCCAACAAGCTGACACTCTGAACATCACGTGTCACATCCAGGTACCTCTGAAGGAGCTGAACACCGTCACTGCTTGTCCCTAAACACAGTACAACCAGAACACTTAATTTGCAAGAGCATACAGAAATACTACTCCTAGAAAACCTAATATTAACAATTTGCATGAAGACCAAACCACTAATATTGATGCGAGTAAAGTAAATAAAGCTGTCCCCAGTACACACAATGAAGGTGCTTGTGGGAAGTAACAAGATATAGCTCCTACTTGTTCTTCACCTTGGCTCCATATGAGGAAGAGTGGTCAGTTTCATGCCCCAGCCATGCTTTACCCCTAGGGGGGAAGACCCCACCAGTACAACAAACCATCACACATAAAATTCTTTTTCAACATAAGTCGAAACAATGTACCATGAAAATTGAAAAGACAACAAACCTGTAAGTAAGATTCCAGCCAAGTCTCCTTCCTCAGTCAGTTTGGCTGTTAACTGCTTCAGATACTCATTAAGTTTCACATCGGAAAGGAAAGTACAGGCAAAGGCAACCCTGTCCTCCACAGCAACCCCACTTTCATTCTGAAACGAAAAGTTCAATATATACATCAATAATTACAACCCATATTCACTTTGCTTATCTGTGGAGAAATATTTAATTGTGAATGTGATTATACACAGCAGATATTCTAATACTAACAACTTCCATCATGATAATGTTTATGCATCATCATTATGTAGGCTCACCAGCACATTCTCATAGTTGTCTGCTTCAGCAGTGAGAAATGCAAATGTTGCTCTAAGGTAGGGCTCCGACAACCGGGAACGAGAGGCAAGACAAAGCTCACGCCACATGCTGCTTCTGTCATCAGAAAATCCTGAGAAAGATAATTAATATGGTATAAATATACAGTAGAATGTTACTGAAATGAACATCAAGTTGAGAACAATCAGCGATTTACAATAATCTATTCACCTGACAAAGCCATAGCCACAATATTCAGGTTTGAAGGCAGCTGTTGCTTATTCTGTGACAGAGCTGCCCGATTTAAAATGTCAATAGCCTTGCGTAGTTTCATGTTAAATACGGCAATTGCAGCAGCTCTTGTATACAACCCCTCAGACTCCAATCGATCCAAGAATGAAGTCAATGATGATTCTTTGTCAAATTTCCAGCCACAAAGCTGCATTGCCTTTTCACGATTTTCACTCCTGGAAAATCAGATTCTGTCACAAAATCTCAATACATACAGCACAAAATGAGTAGTATTTTTCATAATTTAATGTTTTTCAGCCACACACCAGTACAATTCCCTGACATTCAACCTATTACAGCAAAATCTTTCATAACTTCTTCTGCTATAAAGAAATGTTTCACTACACGCAATTAATTTCTACAGAGCAATACATGTTTACAATTCAAATGGGAGCTAATAAGTGATCCTACTTTGTGTGGTCTAGATGCAATGATTTTGAGCACTTCCAAGTATAGTTCTTAATGGAACTTGGAAGAACAGAATATAACAATCTTTCATAGCCTATTATTATCAAAATCAGTTAAAAATGGGTAAATGAAATTAAGAAATCCAATTGCTTACAGCAGGTTTCAAAGTCACTTTCATGTGCTCTGGTTTTCAATTTTTAAACCTCCAATGAGCTTTCTATTTGGTGGCTCAAATGGGTTCTGCAAAATGTCAATTTGAAATGTTTAGCTTTAGGGCATGTTTGATAAATTACTGTGAACTGATTTCCGGGGTGAAGAATGATGGTAAGTTTATGCTGAATTACACTGGCAGACTATTTCTGCTACTGTCATCAATCTCACTTCTTCGTAATTAGCAGTCGAGGAGAAATGCTGAATCTCTTATGAAAGACAGGTTGATGTAAAAGTAGTAGTTTGGGCCAAACATGCCTTTCTACAACACTTCCAGATGGAATTAAGGTCTGAAACTAAATACACATATCAAAGGTCAGGAGTTTATGCCCTGAAAAATTAGAGACTTTCCATACAAAACACTGAAATACAGATCAGAGAAAAATATCGTAAGCTATTGAATTAATAATAAAAGCGTGTAAAATAATCACCTGTAAATCCGTACAGTGTTGATTGACTTCCCTAGATCTACCCAGGGTTTACTTATCATTTCAGATCCATCTGTCTCATTACTGTCAATTTTCAGGACACATCTAAACATACAAAGTATAATTATTAACTCTAAATCCCTATATTAGTTATATTGAGGTGATTAAATACTTGTTAAAAACTCCATTTGAGGATGTAATTGTATTTTCACAACTAGGCTTTTCTCTTTTCATTTCTGTATGGCATTCTGTTGAGTGCTGTATCAGAATATACTATGAATGACCCACATAAAGTGGAAACATTTTAAGAGAAAGATATTTCATTTCAACTATCATTACTACCATAAAAAATCAATTAGTTTATTTTTCCTAGACGAACTGTCAGTGAACTTACACATATTTTTGGACATTTTCCTTTATCTGTTGGGCAAAAAAACACACATTTCAGGAGCTGGATCTGCTTCTAAAATTTGTTTAAGCAACAGATGAAAGAAAATTTTCAAGAATTTGTATCAGTTTAATGGCACACCTCATCTAACAAAACAAAGAATACATATTTTATATGTGTTGGATACAAGTGGTTGCTTTCACATATATATATACATACAAACTTGTGTTAGTCTGGCTACTTGGCTGAGAGATTTAGACTAGCATTTAAAGTGGTAAAACCTGAACACAAACCTCATTCAGGGGTGTATGGTATTTCAATACATGCAGCCATCACCCACACTGCTGACTGTCAAATCTCACCTGATGCCTGGAAGCTTGCTGTCAACACCTCGCATACTTCCATCTTCCACAAGTGACCTACTAAGGTATAGCCAGTGCCACAAATTTTTCAACGATTCCTCTTCCGCTAGATCACCATTCTGCCACAGCTCAGGCTAAAACATTTGAAGGCAATGAGAGATAATAAGTACTTATGTATGATGCGTGAATAAAGTATGTGTGCTAATTCATATAAAAGAGACATGAAGACGGAAAAAACTTTAAACATATCATATTGATATGCCATATTGAATAAAGTTGTGTAGATGGAAGGATATGTTGTATTATTTGTCATCAAAAACATACTACTTACTTTAAGTCCATAATCATTCAGAGCCCTCCTCTTGAATATCACTAAGATGTCATCAAGGGAGTTAAACACAGCAACTTTATCATTAATAAGTTTCAAAATCCAACGGCCATGTGTCCATACAATTTCGGTATTTGGAGAACAGTTGATTGTAATTCTTTCAAACACGACATAGTCTGTTATGGTACCTGAGAGAGCTATGGTTAGCAACCTATTTTCATGTGTTGGATGCCAAGAAAATGATGTTATGTTATTTGCTGTACCAGGATGCACACTTTGCTCCTGAACAAAAGGCTCAACTTCATCATTGCCAACAACAGTATACTGAATATCATGCAAATGTAAACTAGTGCTGTCTCTTAATAAAGATCCCAGGAGATTGTGCCTGTAACAGGAAAGGAAATTTATTTTTTCAATTAACTTATACCACTTGGATTTATTTTGGTTTATTTAATAATGTTTTTCAACTGCAGTGAGTATACAGCATCAATTTGAAGGATGGTGCTAAATGATAAAATGGAAAGAATACTATAGGAAGCATTTATTGCCCCCCTCCCCCCAAACCTGGCTACATAACCAGCCCATCTAAGCCTTTCAGATTTCACTATCCTAACAATTTTAAATGACCTGTTTTGTATTATTACTGTTATTGTTATTATAATTGTTCTTCTTTCTAAGGGAAAGTATTTAAATTGAAAGAAAAGTGAGGTACAAGATAGTTCCAAAAGAGAAAAGTATCTTGCACATGGGCATAAATGTCTTGTATGTTGGATTTGAGATTTTCATGGCAGTTAGTCTGAAGATGGTTCTTTTCTGAGTTGTAGCGTGGTGTAGTATGGTAGAAGCTTACCAATGTTTCAAAGGTCCTTGGTGTCTCCATCATCAGGGCCCATTGGTAAACTTCTACCAGACTACATGGCACTACAACCCAAAAGACAGCCATCTTAATCTTGTATGTTATACCAAGAATTTTCACACCAAACACCTACAGATTTAGTTCAACACAGATTCTGTAACAATCATCATATTGTGAAGGATATACTGACATTTTATATATGCATATAAATGTTACATAACAATCTGGAACTGTACCTGGTTGGACACCATAAGACCTTAATAACTGGTTTACTGTGGATAAGAGTAAGAACTGGTTTTTCAAAATTCCTTGTGTCCCATACAGATATTTGATTCTCCACAAAAGATGCTAGCTGATGATCATTGTGAGGATCAACTACAAGCCCATATACAGCCTTTGTTGGCGTAGAATTAACTGCCTTGTTAGAATCTGAAATGCATATTATATAATTACATATTTCAGCATATTTCTGAACAAAAAGTCAACATCTGATTACAGCTAATCTTATATCCATATGAAAGCCCTAATCATGTGATGGTCCATTGGTTGTCAGTGCTGGTCTTCTGGGCTGTAAATCCATGTATTTTTCTCCAAAAATGGTGGTATCAACCTGCAAGTCCACATGGCTTTACAACCTAGAAGACAAACACTGACATCCTCACTGCCATGAGAACCTCAGATCTAATCTATTGGTTGGGTCATCACATCCTCAAAAATCTCCATGGTTTTCTCCATTTTTTTTTTCAAATGACATTTGTGGTTCGGTGTTCTGAACAAAAGTGAGTGATATACTGCAAACTATATTTAATTATAAAAATGTTGTCTGAAACCATTATTTTATTTGGAGAATATGAAATGAAGCTTCTTAAAATATTACTTCTGGTCTTCAAGCTAAGTACTGAACTTCACTGGCAAGCAGATTAGTAGTTCCCTTTAAAGCACCAGACAACTTTTCTACAGTAGTTTCAGAGTAACATTCTGTACTCAAGTCCTATTACAACATTCCAACATTAAATTTGATAACAATTTCATAAGCACTTATACTCTTTAAAGAAACTGAACTGAAATTAATGAATTTCATAAATGTACCTCGAAGGTCAACAAGTTTCAGATGTTTGTTGTTCATGCCAATAATGAGACTCCTAGACTGAGTGTTGAACCACGCAAGAGAATGAGCTGTTTCTGACAGACCAAGCTCTGCTACTGGACGGGCCAGTTCAAGTGCTTGTGATGCAGCATGATGCTGATACGAGACACTTGGCATGCCTGTTCTTCCATCTCCATGATGAGGGCACTTAAGTACATCCCACAGGAGCACCGAGTGGTCAGCCTTGTACTTGTCCAGACCTGCAGCTATAAGATTGGAATCCACAGGGTTCCAAGCTACAGTGTTACACTGTCTTGCATGTCGTGGCACTGGAATCAAAATCAAACCATCATTTTTCAATATACTGGAGTTCTCTCTCCATTCCAGCACTGAAAGATATAACTCATAGTATTATATGGATTATGATAAGTTCATCAGAGTCTAAGAAAACATTGTAATGAAGTCTTCTCAAGTGATTCGTTGCATCAGCATTACTATTATCCACATAGACACAACTTGCCTGAAATGACATTAAGTGCAACTGTTGTGTATAAATAGATGAAGACAATGATGATGATAATAATAATAAATAATGTATTTCATAAATAGCTGCTGCACTATGTACCTCAGGGGCAAGGTTTGTCTCAGGTTCATAGAAGTAAATACCCTGAAAAAGGTGAATATATGGGATAATAATAACAACAATAATAACACTTCAGAAAATTTCACAAGACACTCCTGTATAATTTTTTGGACCCTCTCTAAGACTCCATTATGAGGCACTGACCAAAGACAGCTGAAAGTCCAAGAACACTTCACTGCATTCAATTGCCAAGAAAGCCTCAAATCTTACATAAAGATAAGAATGTTGACATGGTAAAAATGCATATATCAAGCAACATAAAAAGTTAAGACACTCACACATAGATATCTATACCCTAGTAACTTTTGTCAGGTCTACCAATTATGGTACAAAGTTTAGCTTCTCCTCTCAACAATTAGGCCTATTTTAAAAATTATTACCTAATTCTTTGCCTGTGAGTCCAAGTGCATCAAATGCAGTAGGGCCAAAGGTTGTGAGAACTACTTTCCCATTAGCTTGACCAATAGCCAACAAAATGTCAGGTTCTGGTTGTGGGTAGATGTCAACACATTTAACATAATGATGATTGGAGTTCGTTGCCAACAAGTTTGCAGCTGTTGTATCTGATACCTTTGAACCTAATTTAAAAAAATGCATTAGTCTTACATTCTAAAAAGCCGACTGTAATGTATGTCACTGGTGAAAATAATATTGCGGCCCTACATGCTAATTTCGTAGCATCTTTCAGAGAAGCTACTTCATACAGAAATATCTCCGTTCCCCAAGTAATGAATTTATCAGGATGAACTGGAGACCACTGAACTTCTAGCCTCACTCCACTCATATTTAATATGCAGGCATGAACATGTTTTTCTGAAACAAATTAACACGTATAATAACAAATCAGGAGGCATCACATATTATACAAGCAGGTATTATTATTTACAATATGGTCGTACATTATACGCATCTCGTAATTTACATCTCCCTTACCTAGAACACTGAATTAGCACTTCCGTTTAGCGGTTAACTATGATTACGTCGTCTTCAGATCACCAACACTGGAAAGTGTACATCCTGCCATCTATCCCCCCAAATAGTGACAACACAAAGAGTGCCCAATTGCTCAGTCGCTACAGCGGCTATTATTCAACCGAAACATTCCCACAACCGACCTCAACAACGCAAACCAATTCAAAACTTACTCCTTCTGAATATAAAAATGACTGCATGTGGCTGATTTCACCCATCTCATGACCATTTGGCAGTGACCGCTACTTCCTAATGAGGGTTCCTCACAAAAGTTCAGCTATATCAATCTACTATCTGCTTATTTAAATGTCATAACAAACTACTTCATAGCATGGGCAAACTTGAATGGAAAATGTTTTTATCAAACATATTTGAACTCAACCTTTCTTTAACCACTTACTCTACTACATAACATAGATCATATGGGAATAGGTGATTTAAATTCTGATATTATGAAGTTGCCAGCTGGACTTACACTACAGGGTTAATAGTTTGGTGATAAGCTAGTGTGAACTACCACCAGCTAAACCACACATAAGTTGTGACACATGGACAACAATGGTTAAACCAACACAAAACATTTTTCAGTCACTTCAATATAGATCAAGGATATCAAACCATGTGCACCAGTGTAGTTTGGCATATGCATTCTGTACTATGCAGTTTTTATATAGATGTATATTCAGAAACCTGTCTGAAATGGGATACTGGGTTCTTCTGCAATCACTTTAATTTGAAAAGCATTATGTGATATTAATATATCCGGCATGTTAGTCATACATATGGCTGTATGTAAATACTCAGTAGGCAAAATAAAAATGTTTTCCATGGTTTATGCCAATATTTTATCAAATCTGGGCCAACAGTTACCTTGCTCGTGAACTGTAACCTTGTAGCTTCTCAGTAGTTTATTATTTAATGCACAAGTTACAGTACACAAAAAGTTTAATGTTCCGAGTACTGAATATCATCACCATACTGAAGACAAATAACTACCCTCTGACATAAATAATCCAGACTTCTTAAGACCGTTATGTCTGATATTTGTTAACATTTTACCAATAAAATCTAATTGAGCCATCAGCCGGGTCAGATGATTGAAACTTGCTAATGTTTTAGGGACCATCTGTCCTCATCCTCAGGAATACTCATACTCATGAGCAGCTCTGAGATAGTCCTTGAAACATCTGCAAGTTTTAATCATCTAACATTATTGATGGCCCGAGATTTTATTAATGACAGCAGCTGCTGTGAAAGCTTCACATTAAACAACATTTTTTATTCTTCTATGCTGTGGCACTTCCACAAAATTAGCACAAATAACATACTCTCACAGTTAAGATTTTCCATATTTCAGCTGTATTAGTATGTTCTTGCAAGTTATGGCTCAGAGGAGATTAAGTGCCACATTATTATTCTGAAACAATGTCCAGTATGGCATTTTTGTGAAAGAATACATATAATTTCAAAATAAAATCTGGAAGTTTCCACTGTATTAAGTGCATTGTGTAATAAATAAAAGGCTTCTGGAAATTTTCTCCTATACAAGCAACTAACATCTGATCATTAGGGAATGCGAGGATACAATATATGATCATCATTTACATAAAAGTCTGATAATTCTTCTGCCAATTTCTAACACCATCATTTAAGCATTATATGACAGATAAAACTGTACATACCTTACCTGACATATCACATATTACTTTAGCACATCTTTTTCCTCTTTCTTGATATATCTTATTTTAAGGATTTTTAATTTCTGCACATTATTTTGGGAGGGGCAAGTTTTATAATTTTACCAGGTTTCCTTATAACCTCAATGTGATTATGCATTGTTAAACCAATCTATGCTTTGTGTCTCCCTCCATCATTAAACTTGCCTCATGTTTGTCCTCTGCATAATGATGGAAAACTCACAGTGGTATCTGCATCACAGCTAGCTATATTCACATATGTGTCCACAGCCAGTAGGGCATTGCTTGTTGACTTGCCACCATTCCTGCAAGTGGGCAAGATGTCCTCCATGGGAGCAGCCCTGACACCAAGCATACAAGCCACGCACAACTTGGTGACATACACTGCACATTGCACATTCTGAACTGTGGCAGCGGTCACAGAGCCATCCCGTTCGCTGCAAGAGTTTGCTACAATGTCCACAGCTTGTGTGTACTGTTGTGGACTGCTGGTTTAACTGCATCACACTTGGGATCCACGCAAGCTGAATCACCTGGGATCAATGAAGAAAACAAACTGTTTGCTGCCTATAGCATAATAATTACTGACTAAATTAGAATCACAAGTAGCACAGATGCTATTTGTAACTGACTAACTAGATGGCTTACAGAACCCGAAGGTTCATCACCTATGTCCTCCACCGGACCCTACCCAGGGCCAACAAAATCCAGTCTCTCATTTGTAACTCCAGTGATTAAACACTAGCCCATGATGGGATTCATGAAGGCAATTTCACATTACAGCAGCGTTCTTAAGCTGTGCAGTTTAGATTTATTGTTTAGAGGTTAAACCTATGCAGTGCACAGCATACAGTGAGGTTCAGTGAATAAAAAATAAAGTGGTGGTGTTG